ACATAATAAAGTTATGACAGACACGATCCTCCAAAAGGTTATGTTTTGCTGTGTATTTATTCCTTCGCAAATATGCGCATCTAGGGAACAGGTGATTAGGGGAGGGGAAAGGGTCCCAGGATGGGGTTGTAGGTTTGTCACACATCTTGTTTTGGTCTACCGACTCCTCAACAGCCCTCCTAGCGGTGAAATAGCAGTCATTCCTTTTGGTTTATGATCTATCATTTTTACACGTTAGTTATGAATGTGCTTTATTCATAAACTAATCTCTTTTTTCCCTTGGCTGCATGTTTAACATGTTCTGTGTGTTAGTTCTTATCCCACATAAAGAGGAAACTATGGAGAGAGTAGCATTTTACTTACATGCTGACATTAGTCTACTCCGTTTCCTCTTATCTTCACAGAGATAAGAGGAATTATACATTTTATGTAATAAAGTGTAAAATTCTAATGTGATAAAATATGAAAAATCCTCTGGATTGTCAATACCTCTGCCACTCACTTCAAGAGCTGCAGATGTACATGTTGAAATCTGCAATTTGTTTTCTTAAGTGGGTTAAGAATTTGCATAAAAGGGAGTCTAAATATCAACCAACCTTCAGGTTGATGTTTGCTCCGTGGGCCAGCAGCAGCTCCTGGCACAGCACACCTTGGCGGGAAGAAGAGGCAAAGTGTAGCGCAGAAAACCCTCTCTCGTTCACCTGAAGTAAAGCAACAAACAATTAAAGGGAAACAAGCCGAGTAACACAGCAGCTTCTATTGGAGCCAGAGTCATAGACGCTCACTTGATTTACGCTGGCTCCTGCTTCAATGAGCTCACCAACCACCACGTCCTGTCCATTGTAGCTGGCCAAATGGAGTGGCGTGTTGCCATAGGCATTAGCCTCATTCACCTGAGCCCAGAGGAAACATCGCCTTTTACAAATCAATACTTTTTAAAAGTATGTATAGTGTATTTTAATTGGAACAATCTTTTAATTAAAAATAAATAACATTAATAAATTTGTGAGCACTAACATGGACACCCTGGTTTAACAGGTAATGCACTGTGCTGCTCATGCCACTGGAGGAAGCTGCATGAAGTGGCGTGTAGGCCTTCTTGTCCTTAGAGTCCACCTCAGCTCCGCTGCCCACCAGTAACTTAACAACCTCCAGGTGACCTGATGGAAGATGAAACAAAAAATGACAGGGGTGACAAATCTTTTTAAATAAAATGTAATTTAGATCCTAATGGACTGCTTCTCCTTTTATAATCTCACCCATGTAAGCTGCCCAATGGATGGCCCTCCTGTCATTCCTGTCAAACGCATTAACGTTGGCTCCTCTGGACAGCAGGAACTTCACCATCTGACGAACATTTCTTTAAAATTAGTAAGTAGACAACTACAGAACTAAATTACAGAAATGATGTGTTTACATTCTGATAAAAACATGTCATACCTAAACAGAAAAGAAAAATCTTCATGCAGTACCTGTAAATCTGATCCTGGTACTTGTTTTAGATAAAGACTTGGTGGTAGTAACTGTTCAAATAAATAGGAAGGCAAATATTGCAGAATACATTCGTTACCACTAAGATTTTTAACTCTATGGATTGACAGGCAGAACTGGTTACAGGCAGAGTTACCAGTGTTTGGATTTCCACCAAAAGCTTATAGGCTTTTTACTAAACGAAATTTAGAAATCACATCTTAAGGTCATTTATGCACAAAGGAAGTCAAATAACCCAAAAGGTCAGGCGAAATGGACCGAAAGACAATGAACTCTTGTTCTCTGGTCTTATGAGTACACATGTCCGCTGGTCTATGGGGGAAAAAGAAATTATTGGGTCTTTTTTGCAAAAGTGCATCAGTTAGAATTCCTCTTAATGTTAAAAAGGTTAATTTATACGGAAAGTGGGTATAAAACATTATGGTTTATTTCCCCCATATGGTTTTGATTGTGTTTGGCATTTAGTTGAGGAATAAAGCCTGTGTTATTTTTTTGTTTTTTATTTTTTTTGTGCCTGCTTAAAAAAGGGTTCAGAAAAAGTATTATTCGGTACTTCTTTAAAAAAATAAAAATAAAGGAAAGTTTGCTTTCTTGTTTGTCTGTATTAGGTAAAGCTAACTAACCTCTACATGGCCTCCGAAGGCAGCATGGTGCAGCGCAGTGCGCCCACACCGGTCGGTAACATTGATGTTGCTCAGCAGTGGGACCAAAGCCTCGGCGCAGCGGACCGACTTGTTGCTTGCTGCTACATGAAGCGGCGTCTGCCAGTTCTTGTCCCGGGCATTTACGTCTGCATTGTGCTTCAGCAACGTGGTAACCGCATCCTGAGGATAAGGGGATCACATGTCAGGTTCTGTGATGGTCTAACAGGTTTGGAGGTGGCTGGGTCATGCTTAGAAATTCTTTCCTATTCTTGGTGGGCTGTAATGCTTAGAATAGAACAAAGAAAGTGAACGCATACAGGAAAGGCTGCATTAGCGTGGCACGTAGCCAAGGATGAAGATAATGGGGATTTATCTAGAGAAACAAAGTCTTATCCAGATACTTAAATCCATCAAAATGTAGTAGGTGCCTATGTAAGTATCCTACATTTGTATTTAATTTACATAATTTACCACTTCATTGTGTCTCCTACAGGAGGTTCAATTTTACAGTTTAATCAGCGAAAACATTAGATGACGACAACTTACAAGTCAAAATATTACCACTGTGGAAAAACTTTAACCAAAACATGCATGAGCAGGTGAGTGTTTAACATGTTACCTCACTGCAAGAAGCCACAGCTCGGTGCAGAGGGGTCCACCAGTCTGCATCTTTGGCATTAACTCTGGCTCCTTAAATAAGAGAGCAGATGAGGGTGAAAAATAATTTTAAAAATATATATTTTAAGACCCAATTTTTATCTTCTTTAATAAAAAAAATAAAAAAAAGTTTATTACAGAGCATAAAATAACAGCAAACAAATTAGATTTACAAAGACAGCTAGTATATCTTCTAGGTAGAGTGAGCCAGCAGTCCTTGGAGAGTGAAAAAATTTTAGATGATCCTTTTTGGCATAGCTTGGGAAGGGGGTTAAAATAGCCCTGAAGCTGCACCTGTCACTGGCTCTTCACATCATTGAGAAACACTCCGCAGACACACTAACACATTCACTCCTGTGCTACGCAGCCCCTCCTCATCATGAGTGATCACTTGCAAATGACTGATAGTCAGCAGTACCAGTTACTATGAGAAAGTTATATGTTGATGATGTGATGATGATAATGATGATGATGACAGTGGAATTAAAGAATATGGAATTTATGTGAATGACTAAGATAAAATAAAATCTTTAAGGGAAATAAACAATGTCTAGCAATGGCAAAAAAACAACAACTATTGGATTACTTTTCTTTTGACCCAAATAGATTTTCCTAGATTTCTACTAATAAAAGTAACATGACCTACTAAGTCTTGTAAAGGAAAACTTTCTGCTTTTGTTTCCCTGAAATGGGTTTATATAAATGGAAAAACCTTTCTCATTCTGTCAACTAACATCTATTATTATAAAATATATTTTATTGACACAGTGGGTAGCGCTGCTGCCTTGCAGCGAGAAGGTTTTGAATGCGATTCCCAGCTCGGGGTTTTTCTGCATGGAGTTTGCATGTTCTTCCTGAGAATGGGTGGGTTCTCTCCGAGTGTTCCAGCTTCCTCCCACAGTCCAAAAAACCCCCCAACACACGACTGTTAGGTTAAGTGTTTTTTCTAAATTGTGCTTAGGTGTGAGTGAGTGTGTGTGAATGGCTCTTTGTCCTATGTGTCTCTGTGTTGCCTGGCGATGGACTGGCGACCTGTCTAGGATGTACCCCGCCTCTCGCCTGTAGACGGCTGGAGAAAGGCACCCGCTTGGGATAAGCGTGACAGAAAATGGATGGATGGATGGATGGATGGATGGATGGATGGATGGATGGATGGATGGATGGATGGATGGATGGNACCTTTCTCATTCTGTCAACTAACATCTATTATTATAAAATATATTTTATTGACACAGTGGGTAGCGCTGCTGCCTTGCAGCGAGAAGGTTTTGAGTGCGATTCCCAGCTCTCGGTTTTTCTGCATGGAGTTTGCATGTTCTTCCTGAGAATGCGTGGGTTCTCTCCGAGTGTTCCGGCTTCCTCCCACAGTCCAAAAAAAACCCAAAACACGACTGTTAGGTTAAGCGGTTTTTCTAAATTGTGCTTAGGTGTGAGTGAGTGTGTGTGTGTGTGTGTGTGAATGGCTCTTTGTCCTATGTGTCTCTGTGTTGTGGATTGGCGACCTGTCTAGGATGTACCCCCCCTGTAGACAGCACCCGCTTGGGATAAGCGTGACAGAAAATGGACGGACGGACGGACGGACGGACGGACGGACGTTTTATTGGTGTTTCATGATTTGGATCAACCCAAAATAAACTTCAAATGAAAAATATTTAATATCCTTTTACAAAAAACAGAAATCTAAAAGGTAGTTTTTCACTAACCATCCATAGAACACAGCAAACCAGAGAATGAAGATGCTCTGTTTAGTTGGGACTGAACTTCACCTTTAAGGCACATCAGCAAAGGTCACAAAAGAGGAGGAGCATCACCATAAACATAAAAACTTTATAGTTTTCTTTTATGCCATGATCATAATTTTTGGACATTGGGAAGTATATAACAGCTGAAATAATATCTGATTAAATAAGATATTTTACCACCCCTACAGGGGAGGGCAATAAACATCTTAAAGTATCAGAAACATAAATTCCCAGCGGGCTCGGAATAGAATTTAACTATAGAATCACAACATAGTTAAACATGGTAATGGCGTGTAGTAGCATCATGCTTTACCAGTACATCCTCTTAGCAGAGACGGGGAAGATGGCTTAAAGGGGATGGGAGGTGCTGAAAAAACTAGCAAGAAACAGCTGCAAAGATTTAAGTGGGGAGGAGGTTTACCAGGCTGCAGAACAATAACCAGAAGTTAGATTAAATGACATCTAAGCCTAAGAAGGGTCCATTTAAAGTCCAATCCATTTCCAAATGGGACTTTCCAAATGCCAGGACTTGATAACGGATGTGTACAGATTTTATCAATAAAATCTTGAACTCCACTTATTTTGCAAAGAAGGCTGTTTAAAAATGTAATCCTAATAAAATACATGAAAGTTTGCGGTCTGTGAATTATTAAGATACTTTAAAAAAGGAACAAACATTTAATAAAAAATTTTAAAAAATTAGACAGAAATGGTAAAACATTTATCAGAATGACCACTGAAAGTGTGACCGGCTGAGATAAAGAAGAAGAATAGGTACCACTGTTCAAAAGTGTATGAATTCTTTAAAATCACAGCTAAAAAAGGTAAATAGAGTCAATCTAGAAAACCACGGCTGTGATGTTTACCTGAAAGGATGAGCAGCTCAATGATCTCAGCGTCTCCCAGGTATGCTGCAGCATGAAGTGGAGTCCGCTTCCCATTGTCCTGGGGTGAAATTACAAGATGAAATGTGATCAAGATAAATATCTAAAGCATAAAAATTACAATCTCCTCATTTTTCATTCCGACATAGAGCTAAATCTATAGAGCTTACACTGCTGCAGACCACGCTCTATAGAGTTAAATCTATAGAGCTTACACTGCTGCAGACCACCGGAAACATGAGAATGGAGCCACAAGGAGAAAAATCTCATCTTCGGTTTTATTTTGATCTTTGCTCTATCAAGTCAACACAGCCTGCTGTGTTGACTTGATAGAGCAACCATCATTGTAACCATCATCATCATAACCCCCCCTCTCTCTCTTTCAGTGCAGGAGAGAGCAATCAGCAAAGTGGGGCAATAACAGATCACATGACTGCAAGAGGTCTGGGCCAGTGCTGCTGACTCTGGAGGGCTCTGTGTGATGACAGCAGCAGTAAATACCCACAGAAGGAGAGGGTGCAGGAACAGGAAATGGGAAATAATGGGGTGTAAACAGAGAGAATGGAAACACTAGGAGAGTGAAGGTAAAAGAGGGATATCAGGTGAAGGTCATGCCCTTGTGTTTGGCGAGCCTGAGACATCTTTGAGATGCAAAATCCCTAAAGCAGAGCTCTCTGCAAAATCCAGTTAATTCCAATTTTAAAATGTCTGTTAATTATCAGGGAGAAGATTTTAACTTGCCTGAATGTTGACATCCTCTTTCTTGAAGATAAAAGAGCGAACTTCATCTGGGTCCACATTAAAGATGGCTCTTAACAGAGACGGCTTGAGAGAAACAAAACAGAAACCTTTCATTTTAAATGCAGACCTTTTCAATCTTTGGTGACATGAGAGTTAAAGATGGGGCAGTTTACACTAAAGCTATAATCCTAGGCTAGGGGAAAGCCATAGCCATACTGGACTGTACATCACCCCTTTGTGACTGCTGCAGGATCCAACAAATGAAAACAAAAAGATTCTTTTTTTAAAGGTATAGTCGTTAGACGCTGTGAGGCATAAAGCTGCACTAACTTGACATGTTAAACCAGAGGAGCAAACTAAATGTAAATGTTATGTAAAACGTCTGCTTAATATGAAAAAATGACAGCCCAACAGACTTTAGACTGCGTTAACAGACTAGAAAAGAGGAAGCCAAAAGTGTGCAGAGACAGACAGAGCAAATATAATTCACCATCAGTTTATGAAGGGCACATATAAGTGCTGACTTGGATGCGATAGCATGCAACTTCTTAGTAAACAGCATTTCCCTGCAGCCATGTAAAGACTGCAGATCATTAAATTAACCCATAGACTCACTTAAACATAAAAGTAAAGCATTAATATTCAACTTTATAGACAATATGGGGAAAATACTAATGCAAAAAGACATAAAGAAATTGAAATGCAAGAAAAAGCAGATTTAATGATACAGTTTTTAGGCTCCGACCTCACATCTAAAGGAAAAACTTTAACATGTTTTACTGGGATTTATTTTGATAGGCCAAAAAAGTGGTGGATAATTATAGCTTGGACTCCTTAATAAAACCCACTGCATACAATCACCTCTGAAAGTCACCTAACTGATAAGAAGAGTCCACTTGTGTGTAATTTCATCCCAGAACAATAACAGGTGTTCTGCGCTGGCCTCAGAAGCTTGTTAGAGAACATTAGAGAACCTGGCTGATGGATAGATTATGCCACAACTGCAAACCTACAAAGATAAAGCCTTAGAAGAAATGACTTAAGCTGACAGGCTTTGAAAAGAAAGCAATAATGAGGGAAGCAGCCAGGAGTTACTAAACCTTCATGGGGGAGAGCCAAGAGGAGAGCCATTATTGGAAGAGAGATTCAAAGAGGTCCTGTTTACATATGTCACATAGGAGGAACTCCAGCAACACACCTATGCAAACAAACCTGCTCCGACATAAAGTATGGCAGCATCATGCTGGGCTGCTACTTTTTTTAGCAGGGACCGATAAACTGTTCACAGTTGAACAGATAATGAATGGAGGACACAGCGTAACGCTGGTTGAAAAAAAATAACTCACACTGAGCCTCACTCCAGCCAAACTTTTCCATAAACATCATCAACAGTTAGGTGTTAATAATGTGCTGTCTACAGATGATCTCCACTGCCTTAGACAGAGGTTTAGACACATGTGTAAAGATTACAACCAAGGATCTAAATCTCTAAATATTGGAAAATATCAGGAAATACTTAGCTTTATTTTTTTAGTAAAAGTTGACTGATGAGGGGGCCTGAATGCGGAACACATCTCTTTTTTAACTGTGCAACACTTCTAAATTCATTTAAGGCGTACCTTCAACCAGTCTGTGTTAGTTTCTCCATTTAAGTAAATTAAAGTTTAGAGATGTGACAAAATGTAAAAGAAAAGAAGAGACACAAACAGTTTTGCACAAAACTCTGAATTAGAAAGTATAGTAATTTTTTTTCTTCCAAAAACTGGTCTTTTTCAACAGAAGTAATTACCCTATTTATGATGAATTTCATTTTCAAAATGTCATAAATTCAGTGGGAATTCCTCAAATGTCCCTACTTTTCTAAACCAACACCCAGCTATGTCAGCATCTGTCTGCTGCTGACCGATTACAGCTAAAGCAACGGCAGACAGGCTGTTCTATGATGACCCAGAGCTCAAATCTTTCCATTGGAGAGTACATCTTTTCTACCTCCTCCTTCTCTCGCTGGATAGTTCAAAGAGCAGCGATGACAACATGAAAAGGTTATTTGCTTACTTTCACCAATAGCCTTGCCCTTTATACACATAGCCCAGGAAGCTATAAAGACAAGGCTTTGCTGATTAGCTTTACGAACCAATGTTGTTCTCATGGGCCACGAATATAGTTGTGCTATTTTAGTGCTGGATGACAGGTGCTGGCGGTCCATTGTAGTTTTATGCAAAGGGACGGGAAAGTATGAACTTCAGAGTTGCAAATTAACTGCACTGGTCTGCACTATAAACTGCAGATGCAGCTAATATGCTGTAAAACCTACACATGCAAAAAATAAATAAAAGAAGCCCCCATCTCACCTTGTCATCCTGAGCTGCAGCCGTTTGAGAGTCTGGATGAGACCTCTGCTCAGGAGATGGTTTAAGCCGAGGAGGTGGGGATGAAGGAGAGGGCTCGTCCTCCTCCACCTCCTCCAGCACCACAATACATACACGGCTAGCCCGTTCTGACCGCATCAGGGACAAACGCACTCTCGCTCTCTCGCACACATAAATACGCAGTGTTCTTTCTTCTTATACGTGTGTGCAATCCCATCGCACAGAGGTCAGCAATAAATCCCATAAAAAGTAGTTTCCACATAAAAAAACACAACACATCTTCATGGGAAATCCAACAACAAAATCCAGCTCTGTCCTCTATCTGTCAGTGTCGCTTTGCAGCCAGTCCCCTGTCCTCCTCCTCCTCCTCTAACCCACACTCACTCTGTCTGTGAGCAGCACCGGAGAAGACAGCAGGGAATTCCTCTGCGTATGGTGGTGCTGGTAGGAAGCATGAATGCGGCAGAATGAGTCTGGGCTGCCTAGCAGCACGCAGGGAGTACCATATCCTCAGTGCTGAACTGCAGCAAAAAACACACAGACCCAGAGATCAGGAGAAACAGGGCAATACCACCGGGTGTTATGAGTGGGAACGCATCGCTCAGTTCAGTCAGACTGCTGAAGCCAGCTCTTTCAAAAGAGAGGGAGAAGGGAGGGCAGGGGGAGGGGAATGAAAGAGTTGGAGAAAAACGAAAGACGGAGAAAGGGAGATAATCGTAGACAGGTGCTCAAGCCCTGCAAAACACATAAATGTAAGGATGACAGCAGTAGATAGTAGGGGGCGACAACTAAACACGAAGGTATTCAGCTGCAGTTTCTCTGGTTTGCCAAAATAAAATAAAATCCCCAAAATTTCTTTTGTTTATTAGCCAACAGGTAAACAAAGTTAACCCCTCTAATCTCAACCCTGATCCAAAAAGGCCTCAAAGGAACAAAATAGCTTCATAAAGCTTAAAGAAAACAGAAAACAGGTCAAAAATGAAGTGATAGAAAATTCAGAGCTGAACAACCAGTCATTTTCCACAAATGTAACTTAAAAGGAAGAGCAGCAAAATATAAACCAAGTAGGACACACTGCAAAGTGAAATAGGTGCTCAAGTCATAACGAAAATATAAAAAAAAAAAAAGGAAACAAAAGTAAAAGTCAAAAGTGACTTTCATAAACTAAGTGATCCAAAAAGCCAACTGCAGCTCTGGAAACCTCAGATCTAGTATACCATACCATAAAAATTTATTTCTAGAGCACTTTAAAAACAACACAGAAGCTCTACAAATCTTGCACAGAACACAATCCAAGCACAAAACCATGTGTATATATCTTCTCTAAGACAACCGGGTCGCCGGCGACCTGGTGGATGGGATATTAACTAAGAATGCATCTGCAGAATACATGTAAAATGTTTTACAGTTTAGACATGTTAGACATCATTGGAAAGCTTAGATTCTCAACAATTCAACCACCAAGATCATTTTATGGACACGGGAGCACCAAAGCGGATTTAGTACAAATATAGTAGCATTTCAAAATGTAAACAAACAAAGCAGCCACAGCTACATACCTTTGAAGGCATCCAGAAGCCGTTTTATAAAATATAAATCCATCTTCAATTGTTTATACTCCATTCATCCATAAGGGTCCTCCGATTAAAAGTAATTATTAGTAATAAAAGTGTTCCATGATGAGCAAATTGTCTATAACGTCCGGTTGTTGACATCAGAAAGGTTAGCTGGTCATAGCTTATTCTCAGCATCTTGCTAATATTTACTTCTAATACTTATTTCCTTGGTTGTTAGCCCGCAATGTTTGGTATGGTTCTTTACATCGTCTTCTTGTCTACAAGACAAGTGTCCGCATATTTTTATGAAGCCGAAAAGAGCGAGATATATTCCCCGAAATCTCACCTCCGGTTCACTTCCTGTCAGCCAGTGATGAGCGATATGACACATTATTATTCTCTGCTGTTATTGGTTAAGACCACGTAGGGTGTTGGGCTCTGTAGCCACTGAAATAAGCTTTGAACTAGCCCAAATGTGTGTAATTTATTTAAAGGGGTACCGCATTACAGGCTTGTGTTAGAGAGAAACACAGACACCAGCGGGTGGAGCCATTGCATGCCGCTGCAAGATGACACCAAAAGTTCAAAACCCCACAGCTCTGGAACTTTTATAGCTAGAGGTCTGAAATTTTCTGCATTTGTGGTTAACATGACGTAGAACTAATTTAATACAATGGGACCTGTCTTTTCTCAAGAATGTCTTTATTATCGCTGTTCAAATAAGGCCCATAATTTCCGGGAATAAAAAAAACAACTTTGAGTCATGTTTGAACTGATGCAGCTTGGTCTGTGTTCTACTCACCCAATTCTAAGGGTGTTAGCTTTCAAATAATGTATTGCCCATGTAATTTGAGCTTAGAGTTCTAAGTTATTTGCTTTTCCATTTGGGTATGCAAAATAGGCAAGAATTTCCAAAAATGTGGTGGATTTTAAGAGAATATAAATAATACCATAATAACAAGAAAAAAGAAACCAGATAAAAACTGATCCTATTTCCATATGACTGAAGCTAGATAACTTAATTAATGCAATAACTTAAACTTTAATCATCAATAAAAAAAAAAAAAGTAAAAATAAAAAATTGCAATTATAATTAATTTATTATACATTAATCATGTCTTATGTCTCTGGTACAGGGGCAATGAAAGGGGCCAGGAACAGTTCTACAGGGGCATGGTCCCCATTGGCCCCTGTCTAGAACCAGCTGTAGCTATCATTGTAGCAGTGAAGTAACTTTTTTAATAGTTAGCACAGTTAAAAAGATTAACTATTTATCGTCTCTTTTATGATCACTGCAATAAATCCCAGTAAATATGTTGATTAAAGTCCACACCCGGATGCCTTTCCGATTGTCATTTTTGAAAATATTGACAACCATACATTCCCTTTCCACTACTGTATCATTTAGCTCCACCTGGCATTGCTCTAGTACATAAAATCTCTCCTCAAATAAAATATATTTAGTAGTTGCAAGATGAAAGGGGGCGTAAAAACAACCACATTTCAACTGTAACAACCATTATATTTTAAAGTCAAGCAACCAGTATGTTTTAGGGAGTGATATGAGCGTAAAAAAAATTCCAACTAGATCACATGACTCATCTGACTCTAGTTTTATGGATTTAGTGCCAAACCAGCATGAATCAAGCGCTTGTTATTGCACATTAGAGTCAAATACAAAGCAGTTAAAGGCTTTTTATTCTTCAGCTGGATGCAGCTATGGCTTTTAAAAAGCCATAACTGCCACTGCATGTTTTGGTTTTTGTAGTTATAAAACAATGTTTTGTTTTTCAACAAGATTAAAGAAATATACATTGCCTTACAGAGTGATAGAAGTTTTGAGTAATAACGGGTGTTCGTCTCTGCTTGGTTCAGTATCCTGTTTGGTGTATCTGTGGCACAACTTCAAATGTCCCCATCTCATTATGAAACTGGAACAAATGGGCTTTGCCAGGGAATGAGGGTAGCTAACAAGACCAGTCTGTGTGTTCATGACTGTGAGTGTGTGTGTCTCAGTCTCCTTCACATTCAGCCAAGATCCTAAAAGGAGCAATCTTGCCAGGCCACACAACCCCATTAACTCAGAGGGAGGGACAACGCAGACGAGCGCAAAGGAGAGAGCAAGTTGGACAGGAGTGGGGTTTTCTTGTAGGGCAAAATTTTTGCCTTCGATAGCCTCCTAATTATAAACAAAGCCTGTTTTACGCTGTTCAAGCTGATGGAATATATTATTATTGACAGCATAATGCCCTTTATCAATCAAAGCCAAGGCGATCAAGCTGTTAACAACTTCCTGTGAAGCCTTACGTGACAGAAAACATGTGTGACAGAGAGCTTGCAGGCTCGCAGACCCCCACTGTGACCCTGTCACAGGATGCACTATTGTCTGTGTGTGTGTATAATGCAGTTCTAGAGCACAAACACAAAAGCCAGCACGTGTCGTCCAGAGTTTGTCTGCGCTGAAACACGAGATCTCACTAGAATGAAACAAAGATGCTGGCAAGCCAACCACTCTATCCCAATGACCAGAACCTTCACTTATTCAAAACGACATCTTAAAATCAGATTTAATATCCAGTAGAACCACAGAAAGAGATGATGTCATTACTGTATTTTTGCAATGGCTGCATGCAAAGCCCCAATATTTATCCAACCTTTATTTCATGTTGGAAAAAAAAAAAATTGTGTTTTTTCTTTTTCCCAGTAAAGGCCTTAAAGTGATTTTTTTTTTTTATCGTCCACCTTATGCATGACGCTGTAACACAAATGGAGGGCCCAATCAGTGAAAGACATCCACCCTCGGTGCACAAAAGAAGGTCATCACAAATCCTTCCTTCCAGCTGCTGTTTCAACTTATAGACTTCACTGGTCCCAGCAGGCACAATAAGTCTTTACAACCATGCCGTATTTGCACAGCTTTGTGGCCCAATAAGAGTTTTTATATATAAATGCCTTTATTTGCACAGTTGCTACCTGCTTGTTAAAATATTTCAAAGTAGTTTCAGTAAATCTGCTGTCAACAAACGTACAGAAAAGGTCTTCCTTCTGCTTCGTAATTGAACAGGCGCACAAAGACACAAAGTACAATGACTGAACATCACTGAAAACACGGAAAGATCTTGGATTGTTAGTAATAACTCTGACTCACCCAGACTTGCTTGTAAAAACCCAGACTCACCGAGGTAGGTGACTAAGCAAGCATTTTTAATAGTATTACACAATAACACTGCCTTGGGATCATCCAAAAAAACTCAAACACAAATTTTCAAAACAGATGAAACACATTATTATACAGGATACATAATAATTATTCAATTTATAAGTGAGTATATGCAGTTTCAATTACAAATAAATTGTCTAGTTCTGATTTATGTTGGAAATGTATGAATCTCAGATATCTAAGAGGCCCCAGAACTACTACTGTGTGCTAAATTATGTAAAAAACAATGAGTTCTTTTTAAATACCTTAAGATTTTCAAGTGTGTTTTTAATAGCATGATGCCCCCTAGAGGCCAAACAAAAGCTAAGTTTTCCAAAAATAACTACCATCTCCAATTGGCTCCTCTGTGTAACTATATTTATCTACATGTCCATCAGCAAGCAAGATGGAGAACAATGAAGAATAGAGAGTGGGACCTAAAGACAAAACAGTCCTCTGGTGGTTACACGCCCTCTGATTCTCCTGAACAGCAGTCAAATCAGGACAAACAGCAAAACTAAACTACAATATCAATAAGCTACCAGGGATCAAATGTGATACTTTTTATAGTGATGTAAAAATCAATCACCAATGACTTAATCAGTCAGTTTTGTTTTTGTCAGGAATTGTAGGAAAACTACATACAAAGAAGACATTTTCCAACACAAAAAAACCCTGAAAACTGTTGGTTTGATCATTCATGTTCAGTAAATGTAACTGTAAGCATGAATTCAATGACAATTATACACATATTAAAACTTCTCTGGTTAACATTGAAGAAAAACAAAAACAATAAGTGGGTGTAAAGAAAACAAGATGGCCTTCTTTGAAAGACTGACGATGTAAAACCACACGTTTCGTGTAAAACTTTTTAACTAATCATTATTTATTTGTCCTTTGTTTTCAAGAAGACAGTTAATTTTAACAATTTGAGGCGCTCCAAGCTAATGACTCATTGTGAATAATCATGTCACTGTAAAGTGTTTTTTTTTTCCCGATTAACAAATGTTACTACTTGAAAGGAATTGGAAGGCCAGCTTACAGTATATTTAGGTTTAAGATAAGATCAACGACTGTTTAAAGAAACACTCTTTAATTGACAGTATCACAACAAAAAGGATTATTGAAAATGACTATAACAAAGCCTGAAAAGTACTTTACAAATGTTGTGGAACATCTTGTTGTTTTAATAGTCCAACTGCAGGAAATTAAGTTTGTCTGCAAGTTAAATCCTTGCGGTATTTGTGTGTTTACAAACACAGAGAATCCATCTTGATCAGCTCCAGCTTAACCCCAACACCTAAGGCAGGAGGTATAGCTGCGATGAAAGCAAGACCTGCAAAGGCCCACAGCTGAATCAAAATAAACATGGCAGAGCAGAAGGAGTACGAGTAGCTGCTATCACATTCAGTTTCTCAGAATCCACAATTTCATCTTTGAAAGCAGAACAGAAAAAAATGCAAAAGCATAAGTTTTTTGTGCTTTTTCATTGTGTCTGGTTGTATTTAATTTGTTACCACGATTGGCTACAACCAAACTTTGGTTGGCGAGCACTGGATGTCGCTTCACCCAATCAGCTCAAAAGGTTCAGAAGAACATCTCTCCTTTCTTGTAATGGATTTGATGGAAGCAGTCCCAGTTTAATAATACGTAGAACTAAACCTGAATGGTAAACATTGTTAATCCGGCTTGCTAGATTATTATTGGAAGTATAATCATCGTTTACAACATTCCAAAGATATATCCATGAGTGACACTGCAGAGTAAAGCATTATAACTGACAACCTAGTATAATGTTGTGCTGTATTAGCTCTCAAACAATGCCACATACTTTTTATGGTTTTAGAACAACACAGCTACACCAGCGGATCCACCCCTCTTTTCAGAAGCCCCTGAAGCAACACATACCCAATTATTAGCGGTCCAAATATCACAGCATGGTAAGCTGCAACTGACATGTCATTTCTGGGATTTTCCTCTTTGTTTTCAGGTCTAAACTATGCCATTTTATCTGAATGAAACACCCCTAATAGAAGGGAATAAGCAAACTAGAAAAAAATGAAAATAATAGATAAAGATCTTCTTGCCTCACTGTTTATGATCTTGTACTTAATTATCTACACTCATTAATCACAAGGTTCATGCAACCACGTTTGTCTGTCCTCATTAAAACCCTGCCCCAGTTTTTTATCAATATTCCAAGTAACAGATATTATTTTATTAATGGATTTTTTCCAGCACCCTTCATTGTGTAAAAAAAAAAGCTTAAAACTGATATTTTCTGTTTAGGTCTTCCTGTAATATTTAGGTGACTTTGGAAGCTTTGCATTGCATTTGTTACATTTATGCCATCAGCCCCAATACTCTTAAACATCAAATTTACAGAGAGAAACTTTTAAAACAGATTAAACCTACAATCAACATATATCAAAGCCCAGATCATCATAGATCCATCACTATGCTTCACTACAGCAGATGAACTGGGGAACCTGTGCTCTCAAAGCAGCTGCTGATAGTGATTAACTTGTGAACACTTGTGAAGTCTTTGGATTAACTTCACCTGCTATTTCAGTCTGACAGATTTTCTTATCTGCAGCAACAGGTGATCAGTTGACCCTGTGGCTGCCTGAAGAAAAAAAAAAAAAAGAAGAAGAAAACAAGACAGCTGACAAAGGAAACTTCAGGAACACACAAAGGAACTGACTTTACAGGTTTTCCCAAGATTGCGTAGAATAACGGGAATTTAAACTTGCTTTAAAATGACAGAAGGGTTGGTTCCATAGTCCATAACCGTCCAGCTGTGTTCATTGATACATAATAAAAATAAAAATATCAAAACAATCTAACATATCTCCCCAAAATACAAAATCCATTCATTAAAATTGCAGCTAACCTAAGGCAACAGGTGACAATAAGCCTCTAAAGTGGACTAGTTAGAATTTTAACCGTTAGCTAGTTTGCTAATGTCAGAAAATAAAGTTAATGTTAGCTTAGCTCTTAGACAATTATTAAAAATAAAGATGCCGTTCTACTGCGAGCCACCTAAAACGTACACCGCTCAGAAATGTAGCTCTTTGTGAATAAAGTTTATTTTGTCAACGAACAACATTGTTAGAATAGCGAATGAACTAGTTTATCGTTTGCAGAGGAGTTCGCGTTAGCTAACCAGATGTTAGCTCCCCGTTAAAGCTTACCTGGTTCGGTATCTTTAAAACAGCCATACTTCGCAGAGTAGCATAAAACAAGAGAGACGGTAACTAATCCAGGAGTTACTGTCAGTTGACTTTCAGTGGGGAATTAATGGAGGAAAAAGGACTGAAGCGGAGCTGCTAACTCCCTCTTCCTGTCAGGAATAAACTCGCCACATTATTATTGGAGACAAATGACAGAATGAGAGCTGAACTCGGAGCTCCGCCGCCAGGCTGAATGAGGATGATCCTGGTGCTTTATTTGCATCTCACAGATTTTTTCTTTCTTCCACATTTAACGAAAATGATTTACTATATCCACCATGCATCGCTATGAAAAACCTCCGCCCAAAATCCCCACATAACAGCGCATCTTGTATTTTAGATTTTGTTACATATTTCTCTAACAAGTCATAAAGTTTAGGTTAACTTTCTAACAGGAGCCTATAGAGCAGGGGGCACCATGGGGCCCTCGGGGGCCTCATGGGGTGCCCACCACATCTTCTGAAATCAGCTAAGATTGGAATTTTTATTTTATTTTGTAGCCCTTCTTTTTTAATAATTTATAGAGCATTTCACCATTTAAATCATACAGAGAATTTAAGCCTTTACAGAGGTTTCAAAATGTTGATATTAAAAAGAAAATTAGATCCTTCCTTCCTCCCTCACTTCCTTTCTTCCTTCTTCTTTTCCTTTCTCCCTTCCAAAAATATGTTCATTATTTCTGAAGGTAAACACTGATCCTTCCTTCCTTCCTTCCTTCCTTCCTTCCTTCCTTCCTTCCTTCCAAAAATATGTTTATTATTTCTGAAGGTAAATGCTGAATAAAAATATGCTCATTATGTATGAAGTAGGGATGCACGATATTGGGATTTTGGCCGATATCCGATATGCTGATATTTTAAAACTCGTGTAGCCGATAACCAATATCGATACCGATGTTAAAGCTGGACAAAGATAAGTAGTCGTTGAAAATAGCAGTTTTGTTATCCATTTCTGACACTTTGAAAAATAATATACTCAAATATATTTTCATATGCTGATATCAAATTGATTTTTAAAAACGCGGTATCGATCTATTTTACTTTCAAAATCTCGTGAAACTTCATCGTTCTGTTACAAACTCTCGTGATATTTTGCAAATTCTTGTGAGATTTTGTTAGTAAAATAGCTCGATACCGCGTCAATATATCAACATATAAAAATATGGCAAAATTTCGTGAATTTTCGGGGGATTTCGTAGCATAACGATGACATATAGCAATATTTCATTAGTAAAAGAGATTGATATGGTGTTTTTAAATGGCAATATATCAGCATATGAAGATATTGTGATATTTTAATGTATCAATAATTTTTCCCTCGTCTTTAGAAGTTTTTAAGTCTGTAAAAAAGATGTTTTTGAGGAAGAAGAAGTAGTATTTTTTTTTTTTTTTAGACTTTAGAAACTCAGAAGCTGATCAAATATCGGGTTAAATATTGGTGGGGTGGCTGATGTCCGATATTCAGTTTTAAGGCCGATATAGGCCGATACCGATAGGGGGCCGATTATATCGTGCATCCCTAGTATGAAGGGTTAAAATATCCTATTTAATCAGATATTGTTTCAGCTGTTATATACTGTTTATGACACACAGTCTCACACTAATCATGGTCAAACAGTTAATTCTGCACATACATGGACTAAATTCACCACAACTTCTGTCCAAAATATAAGAGTTTATTAACAAAAATAAATCAGCTCCAAGTCAAACATATTTCAGTTTAACACTCTCGACTAAAACTAGTAAAACTCTACTAACTAAACTACTATGTACAAAGAGGAACGGAAAACATGGTTGAAAACAATATTACAGTTTAAGATGGATTTTGTGTTTGAAACCAAAGTTTATCTGGAAGAATTTGGGATGTGATCAAATTAGCTTTTCACAAATTTTAAAGAAATTGGAATGTTTTCAGACCAATTCACAATACAAACCATGATGTGAATAAAACATCATTTGGCTAAATAATGTTTTATTAAATGATTTGCTTAATCAAGAACCAATAACCTTTAGTTAAATGATTCTTTACCCTCTTTGAAATAGCTAAAAGCGAATAGACATCGAGATTCCACTAAATGACTCTTGGTCATATTTGGTAATCAAAATATAAAGAGCATCTGAGGAACACATGAACACTAATGTTATATCAGTGTTTAAACCCTTAGTGAACTAAAGCTTCTCCAAGCTTCAGCAACAGCTCAACACATATTCTTGTAGCATAGCGTAGCATGCAGTCTATTCTGTTAGCTTGACTTTACTTATCAGTAAACACATGTTTGTTCTGTCCCTAATCATGCCAGACCTGCAAACCTTTTTTCCATGTCCATTTGGAAAGCTTGAGTTTCATCCATTTGCAGCCCTGCTGTCAGGGCACAGCAGGGGTTCTTTGTCTCAGTCGTTCATCAAGGAATTTATTCTCTTCAGTCTGGCTCTATAAGTTCTGAAACTCAAGAGAAATGTGTTGCAAAATGTCTATTTTGCAGCAATTTGGTTCTGAAAGGTTCTGACTTATCCTTGATGGTTCTGGAGATCTGGTTCCCCTGGGGCCCGCATCTCCACTGTGAGGAGAACCAGCCAAAGCTGACCCCAGGTTCCTGGGCAAGGGAGAGGAGGCAAAGAGCAAAAGAGGATGGTCACACCTCTGTGACTTGCCTATGTAGGCCTTGGCTGAAACGGGGTTGTTGCAGAGATTCCACAGCTGATTCCACATCAACATGTAAGGATAAAATACGAACACTGGTTCCTAATATCCAAAAAGTATAATCATGGCATAAGACACAACAATTGGATATTTTTTTTTCTTGAAGTGGATTTTCCCTTAATTTGAGCAGCAATTTGTCAATGTAATAAAATGACTTACATTTAAAGTAAGAAAATAACTTCAGTTTATATTTGATACGTTTTCGCATATTTTTAAGAACTAAAACACTTGTTCCTTTGGCAGATCGTCAAACTTAACTGCGTCATATTAAGGGAAAATATTCTTATTTTGAGAAAATTTTTGCTCATTTAGATCAGTTTTTGCAATGTAATACTAAATAAACTTATTCTGATACGTGCTGACATAAGAGACCATAACTGATCTATCCCTTGGACAAATTTTAATATTTCACCTTTACAATTTGTAAGTCATTTCACAATTTCAGTTAGCTTTAAGCATTTATAGCAAAATAGGATCACAGCGTTCACGTTAAACCAGGAGTCTACAACCTTGGCTTTGTTTCTAATATACAAACAGTGTACTTTTGTCCCATTTGTTTGTTATTCTATTGTTCTGTACCAACAAGAAAAAAACAAAAAAACTTGCCCCACCTTGTAAATTTTATCTAAAACGGTCAATGAAATCAATGGCTCTATTGAACAGTATCCAAGTGACACCCACAAATATATAAAAAGAAAGTCCTAGATTTTAATGACAGTAATTATTAGGAATCTACTTTTCAAAAAAAGATGAACTTTTTTAAAGAAATGTGTATTTGCATTGACTGATACTATTATTCATATGTAGATAACTTTGAGAGAACAGCTGCTAAAACACTTTATTCCTAAAGAATTTCAGCCATATGTAAGATGATGCTGTTGACATTTTGTTTAGGGTCTTTAGTCGATGAAAGCTCTTATGCTGCTCAAAACGGTATTAACTTGAAAACCGCTTGCCACATGAGTTCTTTTCCTTGTGGATCTGCAGGTGTTCTTGTAGACTTTTGTTTTGCTCCAGACTTTTTCCACAAACCCCACAAATACAAATTTTGTCCCCTGCATGTTTTTCAATTCAGGCCTGCTGATTTTGCATGCTTTTTGCTCGGTGGGCTACGATCATCTGAGCTCGAGGATGCTCCTTTGCTTTTCTTCGATTCCCCAGTATTGCTGAAACCTTTGCCTGCTGAATCCAGCCCTTTACCAACACCACCATTCTGATGAGTCTCCATAAGCTGAGGGGTTCCAGAATTCTTATCAATGGAAGAGTCCTCCAAACAGATGTGCATGTCTTCTTCTTGGGCTTGACTTTGGTAAAGATTGTGATGCTCTGGTTGACTGCTGCCGATGTGCCTGACATCCACCATGTTTAGAACTTTGTCTGAGGAAATGGAGGAAGAAAAAAAAATAAAATAAAAAGCGTTTACATGAACTGTTAATGCAGCTTTTCCCCTTGACATTATGCAACTCTGGTTTGATACCTTTTTCTGCTCCCTCTTTTCTTTCTTTCTGACTACTGAACTCTTTCCGAAGAAAGTCTTCAAGAACTGAAGGGTTTGCTTCATTGGAGGATGGCCGATTTTTCCCTAGAGCAGAAAGCATTGTAGTGTTGTTCACGACAGCAGCCAGTAATGTTATTTTAATGTCTAAAGAAACTACAACTCATCAGCTGTAGTATTTGGATTTTAAAGGATGGTAAGGGAAAAATATATTCTCCAGCCGAGATGATAACTGTAAAGCTGTGCAATAATAAATATGGTTTATTTCTTTTTTACAAATAATCATTACTGCTGTAATCCTGTACGGAGATCAGATTCAAACATACTAACCCGTCACTCGGTTTGGCTTCAGCACAGAATAACCTGCAAGTGAAAAACAAAATCAAAGTGAGCAAAAACTAAAATGTCCAAGATCACACATTCTTACCATTTTGTCTGACTAATTGAATTCCTGTTATATACAAGATTCTGAAGTAAAAACACATTTCTAGCGCAACCTACCATGTTTTTTCCATATGTGGTCCTGAAACAGACATCGTCGAGTAAGTATGTCATGGCAGCAAGGGCAGTGCCAGTGACTTCTTTTCTGGATTTTTTCTGAACACATACACGGGATCACAAATCTTTCTGCAAATAGAAACAAAAATAAAAGATCAGCTGATGGGAGGCAACCACCCATTTCATTCAAATTAAATAAGTCTTATAAAAAAATGCAGCGATGTTTACTCTAAATTTATTCAGGCAGTAATTAAATTAAGTGTTTTTTTTTTTCACTTTAAATATAAATATAAGAAATAAAAAGCTTCAGAGATAATCTGGAAATTATACTTAAGATGAACACTTTTATAACAGCAGGGGATGTTTATACTCCATCTTAAGGAAGGAGACCAGGAGCACAAAATAAAAAGCTCCCTCAGAGTGGAATAAGAAACAGTAGTGTGCCGTTTAACCCCCCACTGTGTTTTTAAATGTAATGTATAGATAAATATTAAAAACCTACCGATGCCATCGCGAAGAAAATGAAGAGCTAAATTATAATGTCTTTTGAGCAGATGGTGCTCTGTGGCGGCCACTTCCTTGAAACAGAACAGACAATTCTTCCCAGCTGAAAACTTCAGAAACTGTTCTTTTGAGATGAAGGCTGTAATTTTCCCTAAAAGATAAAAAAACCCAGATTTATACAGTAGGTTTGGAAAGTATTGAGACCCCTTTAGATTCTTCACTCTATGTTTCATTGCAGCCATTTGCTAAAGACAAAAAAGTTAATTTTATTTCTCATGAATGTACACTCAGCACCCCATCTTGACAGGAAAAAAACAACATAAATGTAGAATGTTTTGCAAATTTATTAAAGAAAAACTGAAATATCAAATAGTCATAAGTATTCAGACCCTTTGTTGTCACACTCATATTAAACTCACATGCTGTCCATTTTTTCTGATTCTCCTTGAGAAGGTTCTGCTCCTTCATTGGAGTCCAGCTGTGTTTAATTAAACTGATTGGACTTAATTAGGAAAGGCACACACCTGTCTATATAAAACCTTACAGCTCACAGTGCAGTCATGTCATGAGAATAATGAGGTCGAAGGAACTGCCCAAGGAGCTCAGAGACAGAATTGTGGCAAGGCACAGATGTAGCCAAGGTTACATAAGAATATCTGCAGCACTTAAGGTTCCTAAAAGCACAGTGGCCTCCATAATCCTAAATAGAAGAAGTTTGGGACGACCTATACTCCTCTTAGACCTGGCCGTACGGCCAAACTGAGCAATCAGGGAGAATTGCCCTGGTGAGAGAGGTAGAGAAGAGCCCAAAGATCACTATAACTGAGCTCCAGAGCTCCAATAGGGAGATGGGAGGAAGTTCCACAAAGTGAACTATAGCTGCAGCCCTCCATGAGTGGGGGCTTTATGGAGCCAGAAAAAAAAAGAAATAAAAAGGTTTTACATTAAATGTTCATGCATTTTTGCCCCTTGGCATAACCCAACTCTGGTTTGATACCTTTTTCTGCTCTTTCTTTCTTTTGAAGAAGCAGTGAAGCCCTTCGCTGCTGCAGTTTCTGACTATTGAACTCTTCCCGATGCAAGCCTTCATGACCTGAAGAGTTTGCTTCATTGGAGGATGGCCGATGGTTCCCTAGAGCAGAAAGCATTGTAGTGTTAATCATGACAGCAGCCAGTAATGTTGTTACTTTAATGCCTAAGGAAACTACAACTCATTAGCTGTAGTAAAAAACAAATTTTAACCAGTAAACCTAAAATTTTTTTTTTTTTTTTTACTCAAGCAAATACTTATCCTGCTGACAGTTTGAGTATAAATATTCAGAAGGAGAAAACAAATGCATCAATCATTGAAAATCCAGAAAACGAGACTGAGATTAATGCATCAGATTTTTTTCTTTACAATGAAAATATTATTTTGTAATAAATTCCTTTTTTTGTTTTTAAATAAAGGAAGTATGATAGAACAGTACCTGAGCCATTCTTTATGACAGGGAAGACATAAGAAACTGTAATTTTTATAAGGTAGGAAATGTCAACAAGAAAAAAAAAAAGTCTGTTTTTCTAAATTTGTTCTAATCTTCAGTTATCACTGAAAAGTTTTAAACTGTTGGATGTGTTAGTAATAAAGCAGGACAAAGAGAAAGGCAGATTTTGGCAATTTGGGTTATAAAGGATGGTAAGGGGAAAATATATTCACCAGCAGAGATAACTGTAAAGCTGTGCAATAATAAATAGGGTTTATTCCTTTTTTACAGAAAAACAGTACTGCTGTAATCCTGTATGGAGATCAGAATCAAACATACTAACCTGTCTCTGGGTTTGGCCTCAGCACAGGATAACCTGCAAGTGAAAAAATAATTAAAGTGAGCGAAAACCAAAAATATAAATGCTCTCAACATCTTCAAGAACTCGCATTAAATTTCCTTCAGGGTTAATAAAGCCTTTTTGAACCTAAATGATTCAAGATCACAAATTCTTACCATTTCCTGACTAATTGAATTGCTGTTATAGATTCTGAAGTAAAACCATACATTTCTTGTACAACCTACCATGTTTTTTCCATATGTGCATCCCAAAATGGCATCGTCGAGTAATTATTTCCTGGCAGCATGGGCAGTGCCAGTGACTTCTTTCCTGGATTTTTGCTGAACACAAACACGGGATCACAAATCTTGCTGCAAATAGGAACAAAAATAAAAGATCAGCTGATGGTAGACAACCAGCCATTTCATTCAAATTAAATAATAGTCTTATAAAAAAAATGCAGCGATGTTTACTCTAGATTTATTATGGCAGTAATTAATTTAAGTTGTTTTTTCCCCTTAAATATAAATATATAAAAACAAAAAGGAAGGAGACCAGGAGCTCTAATTAAAAAGCTCCCTCAGAGTGAAATAAGAAACAGTAGTGTGCCGTTTTAACCCCCCCACTGTGTTTTAAATGTAATGTATAGATATATATAAAAACCTACCGATGCCATCGCGAATAAAATGAACAGCTATATTATAATGTCTTTTGAGCAGATGGTGCTCTGTGGCGGCCACTTCCTTGACACAGAACAGGCACTTCTTCCCAGCTGAAAACTTCAGAAACTGTTCTTTTGAGATGAAGGCTGTAATTTTCCCTAAAAGATTAAAAAAACAGATTTATAGAGTGGGTTCGGAAAGTATTGAGACCCCTTTAAATTCTCCACTCTTTATTTCATTGCAGCCATTTGCTAAAGACAAAAAAGTTCATTTTAATTCTCATGAATGTACACTCAGCACCCCATCTTGACAGGAAAAAATAAATAAATAAATGTAGAAATCTTTGCAAATTTATTAAAGAAAAACTGAAATATCAAATAGTCATAAGTATTCAGACCCCTTGCTGTCACGCTCGTATTTAACTCACATGCCGTCCATTTTTTCTGATTCTCCTTGAGAAGGTTCTGCTCCTTCATTGGAGTCCAACTGTGTTTAATTAAACTGATTGGACTTGATTAGGAAAGGCACACACCTGTCTATATAAAACCTTACAGCTCACAGTGCATGTCAATGCAGACGAGAATCATGAGGTTGAAGGAACTGCCCAAGGAGCTCTAGCCAAGGTTACATAAGAATATCTGCAGCACTTAAGGTTCCTACGTAAGAGCACAGTGGCCTCCATAATCCTTAAATAGAAGAAGTTTGGGACGACCAATACTCCTCTTAGACCTGGCTGTACGGCCAAACTGAGCAATCGTGGGAGAATTGCCCTGGTGAGAGAGGTAAAAAAGAACTCTAAGATCACTATAACTGAGCTCCAGAGATGCAATAGGGAGATGGGAGAAAGTTCCACAAAGTCAACTATAACTACAGCCCTCCATCAGTCGGGGTTTAATGGCAGAGTGGGCAGACGGAAGCCTCAGTGCAACACATATAAAAGCCTGCATTGAGTTTGCCAAAACACACATGAAGGACTCCCAGACTATGAAAGAAGATTTTTTGGTCTGATGAGGCCAATATTTAACTTTTTGGCGTTAATTCTAAGTGGTAAGTGTGGAGAAAACCAGGCACTGCTCTTTACCTGCTCAATACAAACCCAACAGTGAAACATGGTGGTGGTACCATCATGCTATGGGGGTGTTTTTCAGTTGCAGGAACAGGGTAACTGGTTGCAATTGAAGAAAAGATGAATACGGCAAAGCACAAAGATATCCGGGGAGAAAACCTCTTGCAGAGGGCTCAGGTACTCAGACTGGGCCGAAGGTTCACCTTCCAGCAAGACAATGACCCCAAGCACACAGCTAGAATAACAGAGGAGTGGCTTAGGAACAACTGTGTGACCGTTCTTGATTGGCCCAGCCAAAGCCCTCACCTAAACCCCAATTAAGCATCTCTGGAGATACCTGAAAATGGCTGTCCACCAACTAGTGATGTTGAGATGAGGCCTCATTGAACTGTTTGGCCAAATTGATTCAACGATCCCCAGTTCATGAAGCCACATGTGAACATGTCACCGACCTACTGGTGGAGTGCATAACTACACTTTGTAATAAAATCTGTGATTTTATGCAATTGTTTTTTATTTTTTTCCCCTATTTAAGTTTCTGTGAAATCATGAATGATTGGTGTGTATAATAATTTTTTTTTTTAAGTGTTAAATGTCTTAGAGAACAATAATTTAAGGTGCACTGTTTTCTGCTATTTTAGTGAAATAAACTTAAGCAGACAGTGAAAGCGTTTGTGAAAATGGGGCAATGATGAGCAATGAAAGCTGTCAAGTCATTTTTATTCAAACATAATAGTTTTTCCACAGTTTTTGGTTTTAATCGGGTTGGAGGTTATGCGTTCAACCAATCTAATTTGGCAGTATTTTACCCAATCTATATTTTTACTAGGGCAAACCAATACAAATTAGTCTCATTTGCCAAAATACTTAAGTATAATTGCAACTTTCAAAAGTCAAAGGTGGGCCTTGAACCATAAATCTGAGTAGTGGAATTCAGCGTCTTATGGATAAAGCTACTAAAATTCTTAAGAATTCAATAGAGAGCAATACTACTCAACAATAAATGTACAACTGTGTCCAGTGGCGTGCTCAGATTTTGATCATTACATTGTTTAATCTGACCAAAATAGTTTTAACCTAGATTAGTTGTTTTTCCAACCAATCTATTCTTACAATATATCTATTGAACTGACAGCAACTCTCCTACAAACTCCCACATCTTGACTGAGTGGTGAGGCTTTTTAAATGCCTGTCGAAATTCTTGCTTTCTGAAACGCTTCCCGAAGCGGTCAAAAGGTATCATGGTAGCGAGGCTTGATGTCATCAATTTTGGCCCCTCCCCTAAAC